ATACAAAGTGAATTAAATGAACCCAATTACATGTACTTTATATAAGCAATGTTTTTTTATTCATCGTTACTTTGAAATCACATTATTTTCATTGATGATAAAAAGGTTGTATTTGTACCGAATCCAAAAAGTATGTTGTATGACATTGCATTATCTGTACCAATTATTTATTTGCAAACCAATATACAATGTTTATTTCTACTCCAATATATTTGTTTCAACCCATGATAGTTTATTCACTCTTCTCACTTAAATACAAGAATAACACACGATTAAATTACTGAAACAAGTAATGCTGGTAGATTATAATTTGATATTGTATACCATTTACTCTCTGTTAGATAAGGCGACGTGGTAATCTGTTAGATAAACATACATGGAAGTATATGTTAGATAACTACAATTTATGATATATTTTAAACCAAGGAAGTGGCCTTTCTAAAAATAAAAAAAAATAAAGGAAAATATATTTCATACAATTGTTATACTGTTACTGTTATCGTGAAGAAACATGATTGTTTATTTAATGTTGTTTATGACAAACATGTAATCATGTACATTTTTTAAATAAGAACAATTATGCTACATGTATGAATAACTCTCAAAAATTATGTTTTCATCAATCCAAGTATTTTTTTATTTGTATTACTTGATTTATACTGAATAAAGATTACACAAACATACAAAATGGTGTTGGCTGTGTGACTGAATTCCTCGTTGAGAAGTGGTATCGGGTGTCCCATAGAGAAGAAGCAAACCCTCCTTGTGATACACTTGTGAACATTTTAAAAGACCCATTTCGCTGTGTTCCAGAAAAATCCCCATTATAGCTAGTGCATTACATGGTTGTTGTTGGGGGAAAGGTGGGTCTTTTCTATTGGCAATGATTTACTTTTTATAGGCCCACATTGAAATGTGGTCGTATATTGTCGTCGCCCCCCTTTTGCTGTTAATATCCGATTGACTTTAAATTTATACGCAGTGTTTAAGGTCATAAGACGAAGAAGCCTTTGATTTGCTCTGCCCAGGCAACGTTCCTGTTCTCCGATTGCCTTCAAATATGCACAGAATGTACCTTGGGATTCTAGCTATCACATATTAAAAATAGAAGAGTGTTGGATTCCGAGAACGTTCAAAATAAATTCAAAACCCGCCCCCAACAATCAAAGGTTTTTTGCTTAAAAAATTGCCGTATTTTATCGAATTTTTATTGTTCTTGATATCTGAGGATTTTTCTCAATTTAGTATGTGATAAATATCATCGCGGCGCAGCCAACCGCTAGAAATTCCAGAGATTTGGATGCCTCAGCAGTCAAAAAAGGTCAAAATAGGCGATTTCGGTTTCTAGTGTCGATACATCGTTACGGTCATTTTAAAAAATTGTCTTTTAAGGATAATGTGTATAGTACCAGTACCTATCACATACGGAAGAGGCGATAAAATCTCTTTGCATTTGCAATTTCAAAATTAATTAAAACCAATATTAAATTCCGAAAATCGTTTTTTTGCTAAAACTTTTTTTTTTTTAATCGGATCAAAATGGGAGTAAGGCACAGAGTCCGGGGTGGTAATGGGCGTATTGTGTCCAAATTTCATGGTTTTCGGACAATCGGTGCCGGTGTCACGGCGAAATTCCACTTTTTTCCCCTCATGGAAGCCGTAAATTGACTTGAAGCCAGGGTCCTTGAAGTTGTACAGCTGCACCCGGTGACCGATATTTATTTAACGGGGAATAAGTGATAATTCATATTATAGCAGTAAATAATTAAAATATTTCATAGGGATTATAATAATATCTATATCTTGTCTGGATACAGGGTTAAAACCAATATTAAATTCCGAAAATCGTTTTTTTGCTAAAACTCTTTTTTTTTAATGGGATCAAAATGGGGGTAAGGCACAGAGTCCGGGGTGGTAATGGACGTATTGTGTCCAAATTTCATGGTTTTCGGACAATCGGTGCCGGTGTCACGGCGAAATTCCACTTTTTTCCCCTCATGGAAGCCGTAAAAACGACGAAAGGCAGGTGACAAGAACAAACGACTTGAACGAATGCAGGTATCACCTTGAAATTTTCAGGGTGCCTAGGTACCAACGTGAAAAGTTGCTCGCCGGAATTTAGTACTCAAAAACGACGAAAGGCAGGTGACAAGAACAAACGACTTGAACGAATGCAGGTATCACCTTGAAATTTTCAGGGTACCTAGGTACCAACGTGAAAAGTTGCTCGCCGGAATTTAGTACTCATGGTACCTTTGGTTCCAGCGTAGCGCATGCGCGAAGTCAAATCCAGCTAAACCCGAAAACAACCTTGTCGGCACGGAAAACATCAAAGGAGAAATTCGAATAAAAAATGATACAATGATTTCACACAACAGGCCAGCTATTAGCCTCTCGATTGACAAGAGTTTCATCGCCCTCCATTCATTATAACCAATGTCATCGTGCCCTAAAGAATCAACAAATCAGCTTGCTTATCTCTGCTTACCCTAGGCAAAAAATGCTCATCTTTGAACTCAATCATGACATTGACCTAGTGAACGCCTACACCAAGTTTGAACATTCTAGCTTAATTAGAAGGAGAGTTCTTGTGTTCCAAAGTCCCGGCCCTTCAAATTGCTTCTATTTTTCATTTTCAATTCAAAATGGTGACCATCACGTGACCGAAATCAAAATTCTGATCCGATAGATTTTTAGGTATTCCTTCCAGGATTCCGAAAATATGACGCCCGAGTCTGTAAGTAAAATAGCAAAAAAGCCTTTTTGATTTTTCACGTTTAAAGATGGTGGCACTTCCGGTTCGATCGACAAACTCCATATTTTGTGTACGAATCAGTAATTACTTGTCTAGTATCGAATTTTTTTTTTAGGTCATTCTGACCTATATTTCGACGATTTTTTTGAAAACTTTGATCCTTAATTTCACCAAGGGGAGATAATTTAGAAAATTTCCAAGGACATCATTGAAGTCGCATTGGCAAGATCTACTAACATTCTAAATTTCACGAAAATCGCACAACTATTAAAGAAGTTGTCAAATTGGTAATAACTTCCGGTTCGAAATGACAGCGACGAATTTTCGAAATGCCAAAATCCGAAATTGCAGATTTGAAGTAAATGTTTCAAGATACTCAAAGAAAAAAGAATTAGTAAAATAGGTCAAATAGTCACAGAGTTACAGCATTGTAGGTCAAATGCATTCCTTCGTAAAATTCGGTGATTTCGGATTCGTAAAACGTTTTGAAAATATATTTAATCAACAGCCACCACCCATTTTTGGGGGGATAGGTAAAAGTTTCAGAACGATCCTATGGTTAGATTCTGAGAAATCCGATTTGTGGACAAAACACAAAAAAAAAATAACAATAACTAGATCTGCTAAGCAGATATTAAAGCTTTCATATTCACAGTCACTGTCACATGTCATAGAAATAATATGAACAGAAAAAAAAAAAATCATTATAATGAGTAAAAATTTGGTGAAGTTAATTCGATTTTTCACTGGTAAATAATTAAATAGACAAGTGGCATAACTTGACCCGCATCCCATCAGCTATCCTGAAAAATGCTGGAAAAATTAAACAAGTAAATTGTGTTTAGTACTGGGTTAATTAAGACAGGCATATGCCTTTGCTATACAGGATGACATGAGGGAAATTTAGCTTGGGAGGTGTAGGCCTGCAGCCAAAATTTCTAGCTAGCTTAGAAACACAACTCCGCTACACGGTCTTCCATAAAAGAAAAACTATACATTTTTGGAAAGCTTATGATGCCAGGAAGACAAAATCTGGGAGTTCCAAGCAAAATGTTTGCAATTTATTGATTTAGGGCCAGATGAAATTCGTCAAAATTGTCAAATAAATGCTATTTGTGTACTAACAATTCTGAAGTTGACATAAAATTAAATAGTTGGTAAAACACCTCATGCCTTCATCCTTGGCAATGAACAGTTTATTGGACAGATTTTGATGTAAATAAAAATGCTCAAAACACAAATGTCATGGGTGAATAAAGAATTGTGGAAATCCATTAACGGTAAAAAAGAATTATCTCCCTTTCTGTCAAATGCCTGTAATTGATAGACTATCAGGTCTTGTATGAATCATAAGACCAGGTGTGGGCAAACAAGCCCAATAATTATTTTGTTTGTTGGATCTCAAGGGCCTGTTAGGGTTGGTTGTTGGATGTTTGCTCAGAAATTATCGCTTGTATGGAACATGCTAGAGTCGATTTGTAGCATATTCTAGCCAGGGGATATGTTTGACAGTAGTTGAGTGATATGCTTTTGAAATAATGGAGATCAGTAGCACTTTATAAGCATTGAACCACATGATTTTTTTCCACTAAGATAAACATTCTAAACCCACATACATGTTCCCTTTCAATTAGCCACTACAGTATTTTTACAACTGTAATGTAGCTGTGAACTACTATTTCGGATATGATTAATGGTCAAATTACAAACATACATGTAGATATAAGTTAAAAAAAATAATTGTGTATCTGGGCTGGAATGAAGGGAAAGGTTAGAAAACAGGATGAACAGTTGTGAAATTATTTATTAAAGTGAAACAATCATTGAAAATCAAAATTAAACAGTTACTCTGCACATCAAATGTCATCAAAGTTAATGTTCATTATCATCATCACTGTTACTAAATGTATTAACATCAAATTCGGTCTCTTTAACAGTTTTTTTTTTCATTTTCACATTGACTACACATGCACAGGTCTGTACAAGAAAGGGGGTTTGGGATGGCCTAGAGTGCCGCGCTTCGACCTCTAGCTGGTCGGTCACCTCTGGCTTGTGGCTGTGGCTTTGATCCCAGGTGTGAGCGTATGTGGCATGGAGATAGAGGCGTCTTCTCAACCTCGTGGGTTTCCTCCGGTTTCCTCTCACTGCTTAAGACCCATACGCGCAAGCGAATTATTGAAATAAAATTGAAACCGTATGTTAGTCCCAAAATGACCTAGTTTGTATTGAGTGGACGTTAAACCCCATTTCTCTCTCTCTCTCTCTGTACAAGACAACTTTGCTGGCCATTTATGATTATTTCTCTTATGACATCTTCACAGAATATATTGTATGTGGTTTAATATTCGACGGAGGGCTAGTCATCTTTGCTGAAAAATATAAATAAACATATACATGTACACAATTAAAACAAAATTCTGGAGCTTGGTTTACTCTCATTAATTTCGTACAACAGAGGAAAAAGACACTTGCACAGGGGTTAACATCTTATTTTCATGCAGAAACCAGCTAATGAAGACAGGAAGGCATTAGCAGTACAAGGAGAGATAGAGAGGAGAATTGCGGTTTAACGTCCACTGGACAAAAACATAGTAATTTCAGGACTCACCCATGGTTCAGTTTTATTTGAATAATACCAGTGGCAAGAAGGCGGAGAATACAAATAAAAAAAACATCACAAATATTTACCTTTCTGATAACTGTCTAAGAAATTCAGTACATGTATATTGCCTATAACATTTTTGGTGATATCTGACCTCAATGGCCACACAATCTTGCCCTCTGATATGCCTTAAAATATCTTCATCCTCTTTCAATTCAGCAGCTTTCAACAGTTGGCCTACAAACAAATTTGCAAACAAATTATACACCATATAGCGTTGAATGTTGTTTGTGCTCAAGGGTGGGGGAGGGAATGTCACTTTGAGGCCTACATGTACATGTACCTGGCTGGTCAACTCTGGCATGCGGTTTAATTCAGATCCTTTGTGTGAGCGGAAATGGTCTAGAGACAGATCGTCTTAGCAAGGCACCTACAAGTGGGCCAAGAAAATAAAAAACAAGTTAACTTCTCTATGTTTCATCCCTTGTGCAAGCAAATGTGCAACACTTTAACCAATGACTGTGCCAAATCAACAAATGGGGTAAAGGGCTTTAATGGCTAGCTTCATAACAATTTTACAGTGATTGCAGTAGCACTTCTGATTCCATTTACAACAAAAACAACAACACAATAATTAAAAACTGTAGGATGAATATATTTAATATTTATTAGTAATAATTATAAATTTAGTAAGTAACATAATATTAACATTAGGCCTACCTGAGCCTGTTTGGGTCTGAGTCTGTGTTAATACATCCTTCTTCCTATTTTCTCCAACAGTGACAAATCTGTCACGTTTTTTACATATAATACACACAACAGGCAGCACCGATTTACTCTTTCTTTTTGCTTCAGGAGCGTAATTTGTTTGGAGAGCTAGGTCCCAGATCGTCTACACTCCCGCTATTCCCTGGTTGGATTGTAGCCGGGGATTTTAATTTTTCTTTATCTATACGATTACGGGCAGACCCAATTCGGAATTTGTCTGTAAAAGGCCTGTAGCATGTTGGGTGAAATCCAGTATCTTTTGGCGCGTCGATAAATTCCTTGTTTGATTATATCACCCGAAGTCGCCTGTTCAGCTATCCATTTCGCTCGCCCATCAAGTTTTAGCCATTCATGGGCACATTCACGGAATTTATCCCAGCGAGATTTTGTAAATAATTGTTCTCGTTCCTTTCTAAATCCTTGGTAATGAATAATACAGCGTAAATTTGATTTACGTTACGACAAAGTCTAACACTGTAAGTACCAAATAGTCATACGAGATATGTGCATCTCATCAAATTCAGCTTATACCATACCCACAATAATGTTACGGAGTCAGTGAGTTCAAGTTAGACAATACGCTGACCTTCCACTGACCATGCTTATAATATAAAATCTGTCAATGACAGCTGATTCATTGTTTAGTTTTTTATATGATATATTTAATATCAATAATATATGTATATGCATGCTTTATTTTACTTTACACGACCTCTAAAAATGCCCCAAATCGTAAAAATACGACTTTTTGGATTTCGATCTCCTTTTTTCGGCTACCCCGGACATTTTCAAAAAATGATACAATGATTCACACAACAGGCCAGCTATTAGCCTCTCGATTGACAAGAGTTTCATCGCCCTCCATTCATTATAACCAATGTCATCGTGCCCTAAAGAATCAACAAATCAGCTTGCTTATCTCTGCTTACCCTAGGCAAAAAATGCTCATCTTTGAACTCAATCATGACATTGACCTAGTGAACGCCTACACCAAGTTTGAACATTCTAGCTTAATTAGAAGGAGAGTTCTTGTGTTCCAAAGTCCCGGCCCTTCAAATTGCTTCTATTTTTCATTTTCAATTCAAAATGGTGACCATCACGTGACCGAAATCAAAATTCTGATCCGATAGATTTTTAGACATTCCTTCCAGGATTCCGAAAATATGACGCCCGAGTCTGTAAGTAAAATAGCAAAAAAGCCTTTTTGATTTTTCACGTTTAAAGATGGTGGCACTTCCGGTTCGATCGACAAACTCCATATTTTGTGTACGAATCAGTAATTACTTGTCTAGTATCGAATATTTTTTTTAGGTCATTCTGACCTATATTTCGACGATTTTTTTGAAAACTTTGATCCTTAATTTCACCAAGGGGAGATAATTTAGAAAATTTCCAAGGACATCATTGAAGTCGCATTGGCAAGATCTACTCACATTCTAAATTTCACGAAAATCGCACAACTATTAAAGAAGTTGTCAAATTGGTAATAACTTCCGGTTCGAAATGACAGCGACGAATTTTCGAAATGCCAAAATCCGAAATTGCAGATTTGAAGTAAATGTTTCAAGATACTCAAAGAAAAAAGAATTAGTAAAATAGGTCAAATAGTCACAAAGTTACAGCATTGTAGGTCAAATGCATTCCTTCGTAAAATTCGGTGATTTCGGATTCGTAAAACGTTTTGAAAATATATTTAATCAACAGCCACCACCCATTTTTGGGGGGACAGGTAAAAGTTTCAGAACGATCCTATGGTTAGATTCTGAGAAATCCGATTTGTGGACAAAACACAAAAAAAAAATAACAATAATAATCTTAACAGAAACAATAAGCTTTCATATGTAATATGAAAGCTTAATAATCTTAACAGAAACAATAAGCTTTCATATGTAATATGAAAGCTTAATAATAATCTTAACAGAAACAATAAGCTTTCATATGTAATATGAAACCTTAATAATAGGAAAAATGAGCAGAGCTACATCAAACCTAATTTTGAGTCCCTCAGTGATAAATAACTTGATTCAAAATCGTATTATAGCCCCAACGACGATTTGATGAATGGCGACCGTAACGTTACGACAAAGTCTAACACTGTAAGTACCAAATAGTCATACGAGATATGTGCATCTCATCAAATTCAGCTTATACCATACCCACAATAATGTTACGGAGTCAGTGAGTTCAAGTTAGACAATACGCTGACCTTCCACTGACCATGCTTATAATATAAAATCTGTCAATGACAGCTGATTCATTGTTTAGTTTTTTATATGATATATTTAATATCAATAATATATGTATATGCATGCTTTATTTTACTTTACACGACCTCTAAAAATGCCCCAAATCGTAAAAATACGACTTTTTGGATTTCGATCTCCTTTTTTCGGCTACCCTGGACATTTTCAAAAAATGATACAATGATTTCACACAACAGGCCAGCTATTAGCCTCTCGATTGACAAGAGTTTCATCGCCCTCCATTCATTATAACCAATGTCATCGTGCCCTAAAGAATCAACAAATCAGCTTGCTTACCTCTGCTTACCCTAGGCAAAAAATGCTCATCTTTGAACTCAATCATGACATTGACCTAGTGAACGCCTACACCAAGTTTGAACATTCTAGCTTAATTAGAAGGAGAGTTCTTGTGTTCCAAAGTCCCGGCCCTTCAAATTGCTTCTATTTTTCATTTTCAATTCAAAATGGTGACCATCACGTGACCGAAATCAAAATTCTGATCCGATAGATTTTTAGGCATTCCTTCCAGGATTCCGAAAATATGACGCCCGAGTCTGTAAGTAAAATAGCAAAAAAGCCTTTTTGATTTTTCACGTTTAAAGATGGTGGCACTTCCGGTTCGATCGACAAACTCCATATTTTGTGTACGAATCAGTAATTACTTGTCTAGTTTCGAATTTTTATTTTAGGTCATTCTGACCTATATTTCGACGATTTTTTTGAAAACTTTGATCCTTAATTTCACCAAGGGGAGATAATTTAGAAAATTTCCAAGGACATCATTGAAGTCGCATTGGCAAGATCTACTAACATTCTAAATTTCACGAAAATCGCACAACTATTAAAGAAGTTGTCAAATTGGTAATAACTTCCGGTTCGAAATGACAGCGACGAATTTTCGAAATGCCAAAATCCGAAATTGCAGATTTGAAGTAAATGTTTCAAGATACTCAAAGAAAAAAGAATTAGTAAAATAGGTCAAATAGTCACAAAGTTACAGCATTGTAGGTCAAATGCATTCCTTCGTAAAATTCGGTGATTTTGGATTCGTAAAACGTTTTGAAAATATATTTAATCAACAGCCACCACCCATTTTTGGGGGGATAGGTAAAAGTTTCAGAACGATCCTATGGTTAGATTCTGAGAAATCCGATTTGTGGACAAAACACAAAAAAAAAATAACAATAATAATCTTAACAGAAACAATAAGCTTTCATATGTAATATGAAAGCTTAATAATCTTAACAGAAACAATAAGCTTTCATATGTAATATGAAAGCTTAATAATAATCTTAACAGAAACAATAAGCTTTCATATGTAATATGAAAGCTTAATAATAATTTTAGTAAAAACAATAGTCTTTCCTAATAATTTTAGTAAAAACAATAGTCTTTCAGACAAAGCCTAATTAAAAGTCGTTATAAAGAAACTAAATATACTATTCAAAAAAAGTAGGGGATATTTGATTTTGGGGGCATAATACTAAAATATGCAAATGACTACGAAAAAAGTCACTATAGAACCTAACAGAAGAAACATTTCCAGTTACATGTGACGCCCAAACGCACCAATAGCTACCGCATGGAATGCAGGTGATGCTTGGGATCATCATGGGGGTCCAACGACTCTGACTTTGAATGTTACAGTCATTGTGGCATTGAATTCCAGGGTGGAAACATCAGTTTAATTGTTTTAGTGACCAGAAAACAAATTTTGATATGCGTCGGCTTACCCAAAATGAAAGGTTACGTGCCCTTGGCATGCTACAGATCGGCACAACACAGGCGGTTGTGGCGCGGACGATGAATGTTTCTCAGTCTGTCATAAGCAGGCTATGGTCCAGATACCGTGATACACAATCTGTACAGGACAGACCACGCTCAGGTCGACCAAGGGCGACAACTCAAGCCCAGGATCGATTTATCCGTACCTTGGCCTTGAGAAATCCTGTCATCACAGCAAATCAGATCAGCGCTCGTCTTCAAACAGACACTGGTGTGAGAGTGAGTGGCCAGACGATTCGGAATCGACTGCATAGGGGTCACCTTCGCGCCCGACGTCCTCGCGTGATCACTTGTTTGAGAGATCATCACATTCAGGCAAGACGTCGTTGGTGTAGGGATCGTCAACACTGGGATAATCGACGCTGGAGCAATGTGATGTTTTCAGATGAGTCAAGGTTCACTGTTGATTTTTTGGACAGACGTAGGAGGGTGTGGCGTCGTCGAAACGAGCGCTTCCAAGACGTTAACGTCATCAGACATGATCGATTTGGGGGTGGTTCTGTTATGGTTTGGGGAGGCATCACTGTTGCTGGAAGAACGGCTTTACATGTTGTTGCAGGGCGTGTTATAGGCCAGTACTACCGGGACAACATCTTGGCAGTCCATGTTGTGCCGTTCGCACGACGTTCATGGCCGCCGTTTCATCTTCCAGGATGACAACGCAAGATGTCACAGGGCCAGGATCGTTACAGGTTACCTCCAACAACAGAACATCACCACATTACCTTGGCCAGCACTGAGTCCCGACCTCTCCCCCATCGAGCATGTCTGGGACATGCTTGGACAGAGGTTACGTCAACGTCAACAACGTCCTGCCAATGTCCAAGAACTTGCTGCTGCGTTGCAACAGGAATGGGACAATCTGGACCAAAATGACCTTAGACGTCTCATTAGGTATATACCACGTCGGATCAATGCTTGTTTGGCAAACAGAGGAGGATTTACCCGTTACTGACTTGGTTGTGATGCTGTGGTAACTTTGCTGTTTGACCCCGGGTATCATTTTACCCTTATAATGGTCAGTCTGTGCCTTACTTAGTCTAACGATCATTTGGAATAAATCGATGAATGTGAACTTCATTTCATTTTGTCATTTGTTTCTTCGTCAGTTTCATTAGGTGACTTTAATAACACTTAAAAATCAAATATCCCCTACTTTTTTTGAATAGTATATATGGAGACTTGTCTGTATTTGTGTGCAAGCTTTGTTTCCATATTCCAGGCAAATTAAAAAGTGAATGCTAATGTGAATTATCGACTCTTATATAAAAATAACACCAACAGTTATATATCACGGTAATTGAACTCTTATTATTCAGCAGTTAAGAGGGCGGTATAATATTAGTGTTGGAGTTGTTAATTGCGAAGCTGACATTTCCAAACTATATCCGAGAAGTAGATAACTGACTGAACCAAGAAGAATCGTACAATACAAACAATACGAAATGTCAAACTTACATTATGACAACATTACGCTGGGTTTTATTTTTC